TAATACATAAAGCAGCTGCTACAGGGAGGACATTTTAAATTGTTATTTGTACTACATCCCCACTGACACAGAAAAGTTGTTCAGTTATAAATATTTGCCATTAGAAAATCTCTCACACGTTTGCACATACAAGTATTTTTGCAATACTTTCAAAACAGGATTGGGATCACATCAGAGTGGCTTCTATTGGACGCCTGTGACCAAGTATGTGTTTATAGAATCTTCTGTGAGTCATGGATGCTGTGGTGACATAAGAACTATTGGAACCCTTGTTGTTACTCATAGATGTAATTCTGGTAAGCATGATTAATTGATGGACTGTAATTCCATTTTTGCTCCAAGAAATTTAGACAAGTTCATAAGGTTTTCTTCCAGATCTTATTCTCACAACAGCCTTTGAAGTAGGCTGGTAGAGAATAAAGGGCTTCCTTGCAGAAATAACACCTGGTCATTTAAACTAAAGAGCTGATAATAAACCTAAGGCAAAGATATCTGAATGTTTGCACTCCAGTTAATTCATAATAGTAAAACCTGCACATTATACATTTCTCCCATTAAAGGCACAGGAGATAAAAGAAGGCCTAGACATAATACTTCAACATTCTCCAGAGGAAACTTCTGACAAAATTGAGAAATAAAAAGATAATGCAGTATTTGCCGTTTTAATTTTCTGATACTCTTCATATGTATGTTCAGATCTAGAACTACCTTTTTTGGCTGAGTGGATTGTCTGTTTTTTTAATGTAAATGAGTTCTTTTATTTGTTTTCCTCAGACCAAATTATGGATGAAACGTTAGAAAATTTAAACAAAAACCCCATTATTTTTGCATCAAATCCTACATCTTTATGTCCCCAAATGACATGACCTAAAGCTACCCATCAAAAGGTATTCTTGAGCTGTTCCTTTTTCTTCTTAATTTATAAAGACAAACTGGTGCCAGAAGATAGGATGGTTAGAGCTGGAAGATATCATTTCTGATCCTCCTGGAAGAAAATGAATGAGGCAGAGTAATTGCAACAGCAGCAGCAGCAACAAAAATCTTCAGTTACAAAAGCTTAAGAAATTAATTTTGAGTGATGTTTTAGTCTAAACACCATGTGCTGGTATGCCTCCAAATTGTACAAAGATTCTATTTTCCTATTAGAGGAGTTTTTGGTGGCTGAGAGCTGCAATTCACCTTTTTTGGAAGGGCACAGGTTGAAGTAGACAGCAGGTGTCTCTAGCATGTAGCAATGATATAAACTGGTACCATTCTCTTATTTCTCATAGGTTTTGCAAAAGAGTAGTTAGGGATGGGGAAGGTAAATTATTATTATGCCTATTTTGTACCGATTAACTCAAATGTTATTTCTTGTATGGAAACATACACATCCCAGAGTGATGCCAGGCCATTGCCAAATACATCCTCCCCTTTTTCAAGAACACTAGTGGGATAAATATGCCAACCTTCCTCACCCTACCCTGCCTTGCATCCAACCATAGTACAAACACATCCTGGGAATCACTTTTATCTGCTGTTTCCTGTGATTCAATAATTCATCATTTTAATATGATTGATTGGGGCCAATATGGTGTAGTGTTTAAAAGACTGGATTAGGAACAGGGATTTTAAGGTTCTACTTCACCTTCAGCCACAGAAGTTCACTAGGTGACTTTATGCCAGTCACTCTTTCTCCAAAAAATTGATCACACCAACTTGTTATGGAGAAAGGAGTGCTATGTACACCACTTTGCACTCCTGAATCAAAGGCAGGATATTAAAAAAATATATTAAGTTACACACCTTATTACAGACTACATCATTCCACTTCTACAAAAGCAATCTTGAGAAATTCAAAGGTGGGAAACACACAACACAAATATGGTTATCAACATTCTTTCCCAAATTCCTAGATGGTTGAATCTATTCTTAAACTCCAAAAAAATGCAGATAAGATTTAAGCAGATATCTGAACATCCAATTGTTCATCAGCTCATTAAGATTAATAAGGTTGTACTTTAACCCCAGAACGTTGCAATGGTTTTAACTTCCTAATTCTTCCTAAACAGTCTGTAGGTAAACTACAATTGTCTTCACCTCTACACACTGAGGGCTCATCCTCACATCCCTCTAACCATGGCACAAAGATGCCTCACTAATTATTTAAATAGCACATATCTGACACTGCATTCCTCACATCTCTGGCCCATAGTTGAGGGAGCTTAAATTTGTCTTCAGCTGTTTCAGTTTCAAAGTAGCATTTCCAGTCCTGCAATTCTTGTTTGGATACACTGTACAATGATGAGATTGCTGCCATGAACAGGGACTGGGATTTGCCCAGCTCTTATTGGCCACTTTAGGCTGCTGTAGGCTCACTGCCTCCCCTTTGGTTCCTGGGCACTGTTTTCTTGGGCCATTCTGCTTTGGGCAATGGGAGAGTCCAGTTCTTCCAAGCTGGACTCTCCCTCTGTGCCTGCCAGGTTGTGAGAGTTAGTCCTCACACCATCAGTGAAAAGGAATATGCTAGCAAATCTGACCACTGCCATCAGACCTTTGAGGTCAGCCAAGTCAGGAAACAGACATCACAAGATTATAGGAATGCTACTTTCTTGTTATAGTTTATTTATTGTTGTAGGGTATAATAACAGAATCTTTGAAGCCTGCCAGAGCATCCCATTGCTTCATCTTATAGCAAATAGAAAAGTTAGGATTCTTTTGAATTTCTTTCTCATGGCTTCTCTTTCCCAGAAGGGAATTGTCTTTCAGATGGCTGGACTTCAGCTGGCTGGCTGGGGAATTCTGGGAGTGGAAGTCCACCCATCTGAAAGCTGCCAAGATTGAGAAACACTGCCTTAATGGCTCCTCCATACTTACACTAAGGTTATCTTTACCTTCCTCAACATCTGCATAAAGAAGAGACAGATGGAAACAGGCCCTTCCACTCCAAAGAGAAGACTGGACAGCCCATTACAAAGGGCAGGGAAGAAAAAGAGGGGCAAGAGGGTTTGGATATTGTTTCTATATATAAGACTTGTCTTTGAAACAGAGCAGCCGCCGAGGTTTTTTAGTTATGGCTTCCTACCTTTTCTTGAGTAATGATTACCATATTTTTCCATCAATAAGACGCCCCCGTGTACAAGACGACCCCCACTTTTCCAACCCAAAATTAAGAA